CGGTGCCGTGCCGAAATGAAGGGGTCGGCAGGGAGGGGGGCGCGCTGGCTGGTGGGTGGGGGATGGGATGCGGGGGCGCGCGCGCGGGATGGGGGGGGGGGCGGTCGTGCCAACATAAAAAGGGTCGGGGTGGAGGGGGGCGCGCTGGCTGGCGAGAGGGGCGACGCAGAGGGGGCTTTCGGGCTAGGGGGGGCGGTGCCGCGGTAGGACGGTGCCGTGCCGCAGGAAAGGGGTCGGGGCGGAGGGGGCGCGCTGGCTGGCGCGCGGGGTGGGCGGGGTGATGCGGAAGTGGCGCGCGGGATAGGGGTGGGCGGTGCCGTGCCGAAATAGAATGGCTGGAGCTCTAGACACCCTGCGCAAAAAAAATAAAAAGGTCGGGGCGGGGGTGGCGCGCTGGCTTGTGGGGCGGGGGGATGCGGAAGGGGCGCGCGGGGGTGGGGGGGTGCCCGTGCCGAAATGAAGGGGCGGGGCGGGGGCGGAGGGGGCGCGCTGGCTGGCGGGCGGGGGGATGCGGAGGGGGCGCGCAGGATGGGGAGGGGGGCGTGCCGAAATAAAACGGGTCGGGGCGGAGGGCGCGCGCTGGCTGGTGGGTGGAGGATGGCGTGTGTGTGTGTGTGTGTGTGTGTGTGTGGTGTGTGTGTGTGTGTGTGTGTGTTGGTGTGTGTGTGTGTGTTGTGTGTGTGTGTGTGTGTGTGTGTGTGTGGTGGGGGGCGTGCCAAAATAAAAAGGTCGGGGCGTAGGAGGCGCGCTGGCTGGTGGGGGGGGATGCGGAGGGGGCGCGCGGGATGGGGGGGAAGTGCCGTGCCAAAATAAAAAGGTCGGGGCGGAGGGGGCGGGCTGGCTAGCTGGTGGGAGGATGCGGAAGGGGTGTGCGTGGGATGGATGGGGTGTCGTGCCGAAATAGAAGGGTCGGGGCGGAGGGAGCGCGCGGGCTGGTGGGCGGGGGGGGCGAGCGGGATAGGGGGGGGGGCGTGCCGAGATAAAAATGTCGGGGAGGGGGCGCGCTGGCTGGCGGGTGGGGGGGATGCGGAGGGGGCGCGTGGGATGGGGGTTGCCGTGCCGAAACAAGTTGCACGCGTGCTCTGGCTCTTGCACACATGAGGAGAGAAAGAGGAGGAGACGCAGATGGGGTGATCGAGGAAACAAGGAGGAGGAGAAGGAGGAGGAGGAGGAGGAGAAGGAGGAGGAGGAGGAGGAAGGGGCTGGGGGCTGGGTCCAGGGCCAAGGCCACGGGTACGACGATGAGCGAAAATGAAGGGTCCAGGGAGAGGGGGGCTGGGGCCAGGGCCAGGGGAGGACGCTGGGTCCAAGGGCAGGACCAGGGTGGCGACGACGAGGGGGTCTTGGTCGAGGACCAGGGTGAAGGCTGGGTCGAGGGCCAGGACCAGGGGGACGACGACAAACGAAAATAAAGGGTTCGGGGCGAGCGGGGCTGGGGCCAGGGCCAGGTAAGGAGGCTAGGTCTGGGGCCAGGTGCCGTGCCGAAGTAAAGCGGTCGGAGCGGAGGGGCGCGTTGGCTTGTGGGGCCGACGCCGTGCCAAAATCAAGCTCTCGGGGCGGAGAGGGTACGCTGGCTGGTGGGGCCGTCACCGAGGGGCACTCTGACTGGCGGGCTGGCTGCGCTGGATGGTGGGGGAAGGATGTGGAGGGCCGGGGGGCTGCTTCGGCATGGCTGCCTTAGAAGGTGGATGCGGAGGGGGCGCGCTGTGAGGCGCGGGCCGAGGGGCTGCATTGACCGGTGCCGTTCCGAAATAAAGTCGTCGCAGCTCTTAGACACCCTGTGCAAGAGAATGAAGGAGTCGTTGCGGAAGGAGCGCGCAAGCTTGTGTTTGGGGGGGATTGCGGAGGGGGCGCGCGGGAGGGGGGAGGAGGGTTCTGTACCGAAATGAAAAGTTTGGGGAGGAGGAGGCGCGCTGGCTGGTGGGGGGGGGCGCGGAGGGGGCGCGTGGGATGGGGGGGGGCCTTCCGAAAAAATGGTCGGGGCGGAGAGGGCGCGCTGGCTGACGGGTGGGGGGATGGTACTGTGGGTGCGGGGAGAGGGGTGGGAGTGCGGTGCCGAAACGAAAGGATCCTGGCGGAGGTTCGCGCTGGCTGGCGGGGGGAGCGCGCAGGGGGGGGCGCGGGATGGGGGGGGGGTGCCGTGCCGAAATAAAGAGGGCCGGGGCGGAATGGGCGCGCTGGCTGGTGGGTGGGGGGGGGTGCGGAGGGAGTGCGCGGTGCCGACATAGCTGGGTCGGGGCGAAAGGGTGTGCCGTGCCGAAATAACGGAATCGGGGCGGAGGGGCGCGCTGGCTCGCGGGAGGGGGGATGCGGGGGGGGCGCGCGGGATCGGGGGGGGGGCGTGCCGAAATAAAGGGGTCGGGGCGGAGGGGGCGCCCTGGCTGGTGGGTGGGGGGATGGTGGTCTGGGTGGGTGGGGAAGGGGGGTGCCGTGCCGAAATGAAAGAGTCGGGGCGGAGGGGGGCGCTGGCTGGCGGGTGGGGGGGCGGTGGTCCCGATGGGTGAGTGGGGGGGGCGCGCTGAAATAAAGGGTCGGGGCTGCGCGGCTGGCGGGTGGGGGGGATGCGGAAGGGGCGCGTGGGATGGGGGGGTGCCGTGCCGAAATGAAAAGGTCGGGGCGGAGGGGGCGCGCTGGCTGGCGGGCGGGGGGATGGGGGCGCGCCGGGGTCGCGCTGGCTGGTGGTGGAATGGTTGGGCGATGAGGGGGGTGCCGTGCCAAAATCAAAAGGTCGGAGCTCTAGACACCCCGTGCAAATGAATAAAAAGGTCGGGGCGGAGGGAGCGCGCTGGCTGGTGGGTGGGGGATGGTGGCGTGGGTGGGTTGGGGGGTGCTGTGCCGAAACAAAACAGTCGAGGCGGAGGGGGCGCGCTGGCTGGTGGGTGGGGGGGGATGCAGAGGGGGCGCGTGGGATGATGGGGGAGGTGCTGCGCCGAATGAAAAGGGTTGGGGCGGAGGGGGCGCGCTGGCTGGTGGGCGGGGGGGGGATGCGGAAGGGGCGCGCTGGATGGGGGGGGGGTGCCGTGCCGAAATAAAAATCGGGGCGGAGGGGGCGCGCCAGCATGCGGGTTGGGCGGGGTCCGGACTGGGCGCTGGCGGGTGGGGGGGATGCGGGGGGGGCGCGTGGGATGGGGGGGGGTGCCGTGCCGAAATAAGAAAGGGTCGGGGCGGAGGGGGCGCGCTGGCTGGCGGGTCGGGGGGATGCGGAGGGGGCGCGCGGGATGGGGGGGCCGTGCCGAAATAAAAAGGTCGGGGCGGAGGGGGCGCGCTGGCTGGCGGGTGGAGGGATGGGGCAGGGGAGATGGGGTCACGCCGCTGGCTGGTGGGTGGGGGCCATGGAGGGGGTGCCGTGCCGAAATAAAATGGTCGGAGCTCTAGACACCCTGTGCAAAAGAATAATTTCTCCCTGTCGTACCCCGAAGCAAGTTTTTAGGGCGGGCCGGGTGTTTCGCCTGAGACTTCCTCGCCACTTATGACTCTGATACTTAAAATGTGGTAGCAGCTGCACAGATGGAGGGCGGGCCGTTTTCAACATGTGTCTCTCGCTTTAGCGCGGCGCACATTCGTTATGTGTAAATATATAGATAGATAATTGCAATCGTTTCGCGGATTGAAGGCGGGTGGCTTTCTACATGTGGCTCTCGGCTTAGCGCCGCGCGCATTCGTTTTAGGAAAGTGCAGAAAAATCGCGGATTGCAGGCGAATGGTTTTCAACATGTGGCTCTCGCCTTAGCGCCGCGCACACTCGTTTAAAACAATTGCAAGAGCTTCACGGACTGAGGGCGGTTCTTTCTCAAAATGGTGCTCTCGCCTTAGCACCGCGCACAATCTTTGTTTATGAATTCGCAAGAGCTTCACGGATTGAAGGCGGCTCCTTTTCAAAATGTGGCTCTCGCCTTAGCGCCGCGCACATTCGTTTGTATCATGCCAAAGAATGTCACTGATTCCCATCATCAACGTACCAGAAATCGCGTTTTGGAAGGATTCAGGGCAATGCGGATGCAATAGTTATAGTTAGTTTATTTATATATATATATATATATATATATTCTGTGTTGAAGTCCTCGGAATGGAGTGCTGGCGTGATTCAGGATCGTCAAGACCTAACCGTCAGGTTGATCCGTGGCGTTGGAATCCCGAGAAAAATGTTTTGGCATGCTTCAGGGTCTTCAAACGGGCGTCTTCCAACGAGGCAGTTCCATCAATGGAAATGAGCCGTTGTAGGGGCCTATGCAGAGGGAGCTTGGAGGGAGGGTTTACTCCAACATCGTTGGTGAATCTTGAGTTTGCACTGGTGATCCTCCTCCTTCTCCTCCTCCTCCTCCTCCTCCTCTCCCTCCTCTCCCTCCTCCTCCTCCTCCTCCTCCTCCTCCTCCTCCTCCTCCTCCTCCTCCTACTCCTACTCCTCCTCCTCTTCCTCCTCCTTCGCGCCGCCCGAAGCCTCACCCGGCCAGGGACACCCCCGGCAGCCCCCGGAGAAGGGGTCCCGGTCTCCCGCCCGCGCCGCGCAGCGGCCCCCGCCGGGGAGGGGCCAGTCCTCGGCCTCCTCGAAGAAGGGCGGCGGCCCCGAGCCGAGCAGGTGGTGCAGCCTTCGCCGCGCCTTGCGCCGCCAGAGTCTGTCCATGCCCTGAGATCCTGGCGACTCAAATTGTCCGAGCTGGACATTTTCGCAATTTCGGGCCCCAGGACCCTTACAAATGGATCCGGCTCGAAAAATGGCGCAGAAAGCAAAATCTGGCGCTCCAGTCGTGATTTGTCACGATGTCTCAATTTTTCGAAACCTCGGATCTCAGGGTATGTCCATGTCCACTCCATATCCACTGCCGCGGGATCGTGCCCTGGGGTCTCGGGAACAGTAAATATGGATACCCTGCCCGCCCACGCGGGCGCGCAGGCATCCATATCTATCACTCCTTGGGATCCCAGGCCACGACCCCGCGGCACTGGATGTGGACATATTCTGGCGGCGAACGCCTTGCGGCCCAGGTCCACGTACAGCTGGGTCATGTCTTGAATGCATCGGGGGACGTCCGCTGACCACCTCACCGACCCTGGCCAGGCCCAGGGTCGGTGCCCAGATCTGCTCGCGCGGTGAGGAAACCACGACAGGAAGCGTTTGGCCGCTGTCGGCCCCTGAGGACCATCGCCGAGCCCCCGAACAAAAACGACTCAGGATGAAACGCAAGCCCTGGGGAAATGGTCGGGACGTCCAGAGGTCCCGTATCAAAAAATCAGGTCATCCCTGACCAAGCTGGGAGGGCGTGTGTACTGTGGAAGCGGCTGGTGGGTCTGAGCTGGCTAAGCCCAGAGAACATCTGTCAAGAGTTGGGGGTGAAGGCGACTTCGCTCAAACTCGGTCCCCAGACTTCTCCAGGGGTCGAAGCTGACCAGTGTTTCGAGATGCGTCCAGTCTAGGAAGGATAGACCACTGAAGATCGTTCAGAGTGGGGGCGGTGACCATCCAGCCATAGGGGCGCTCAGGCCGGAGGGCGTTCTCCTCTGTGCGTGAAAGACGAGGCGCATCGCGTTGTGGAGCACCAAAACGCCTGGCAGGAACCAGTGCTGTGTCCCCCAGCCAACTCCAGCGTACACCGATCATGGCCCCGGGATGGGCCTGGCCAAGATCGGTGAGGTGACCAGCCAGCGCCCTCCGAGATGTACACGCGCCTGTACTCCCGCTGCCACAGGTGGTAAACCAGCCCGCGGGAGGGCGCGAAGAGGTCCCAGCCGTGGGTAAACATGCGCACCGTCATCAGGATCTCCTCGCCGTAGAAGAGCATCGGCAGCTGCGGGTCGTAGGGCACCTGCGCCAGCAGCTCTGATGAGGAGAAGGAGAAGTGGGCGCTCCAAAACAGGGCCGGCTGCGGGGCTGGCCACTGGGCCTTCAGCGTGCGATACCGGATGTTCAGGACGCTGTTGTCGTCGAAGAAGCCGGCGCAGTTGAGGCAGGGCATGTCGTCCGCGGGAGGCGTCCAGTCGTACGGTGTGCCCAGCTCGTAGCCGCGCCCGTAGCCACAGAGGACCGGCTTGGCCGACCGGCGCAGGCACGCCGCGAGCTGCTCGCGCATGTGCCTGTCCCACTGGGGCACGAACCTCGGTAAATAACACACCACATAAACATGACCTTTCGGAAATCCGCGCAAATTTCTTGGATCGGCGGTGGGGCCGCCTCCATACCGACGGGCGCCTCCGGCGCCGTAACTGGCGCGGGGATCCAGCGCCGATCTAAGAGATCCGCGCACATCTCCAAAAGTGTATGTTAATGCAGCTTTTCTTGGCGAGCCTCATGTGGCTGTCCAACTGAAGGTACAGCTCTTCCCCGCGCCACAGCAGCTGCGCTAGGTACCTGTCGGGGCGGACGACGTGGGGTAATGGGATGGGAGCAAGCGATCTTAAACATGGCCCCTCCCCACTCCCCCCCCGGGGGCCTCAAAATAATTGATTTGGGCAGACTTCTAGAATCCAGCCGCCAGAACTGATTATTGTAATCGTCCGCCCCCCCGGCTATTTTTCTGCCGTTGGGTCCAAACTGATTTTCTATTCGTCCCCCCTGCGCTCGCTTGTCCACCCGCGGCGCTGCAGACGCACACCGTCGGCGCTGTCTTTTCGCAGCTGCAGGATGGAGGAGGGAAAGGAATAGGAGGAGGAGGAGGAGGAGGAGGAGGAGGAGGAGGAGGAGGAGGAGGAGGAGGAGGAGGAGGAGGTGGAGAAGGAGGCGGAGGAGGAGGAGGCGGAGGTGGAGGAGGATCGTGCGGGGTGGAGGGAGGGAGGAGGGAGAGGGGGGAGGGAGAGAAGGCGGAGGAGGAGGAGGAGCAGTAGCAGCAGGTGGAGGAGGTGGAAGAGCAGGAATAGGAACAGGAGCCGAAGGGAGCCTGTCCGCCCTCCGTCGGCCAGGTTCCTTCGGTCCCTGCGGCTCCGAATTGTCAAGCCGCCCCCCCCCTGCTTCGAATTGTCAGCCGCCCGTAGACCTCCCCTCGGGCAGCCTGGGACTGTCCGCCCTCTGTCGGCCTGCTCCCCCCCCTCCCCTAGTGTGGGGGCAGCCAGGCCGGCGAAAGTATGGTTTTGATCTTCCGCCCCAGAATTTTGTTGAACCGTCTGCTCTCATGAATGTGGAGGGGGGGGGTGCTCGGCGAATCAGGTCCTACCTCGGGCCTCTTGCGACCGCTTTGGGCGATTGAGGCTCCCCGCTCTCGGCGAGGCGCAGCTGCTGGAAAACACCCAGAGGCTGGGAAACCTCCGGGGACTGTAGAAACGCGCGGCAAAATCTAAAACTTTGTCCGACCCGTTCCTGGCGCACGGAGCGCGTAAGGGGCGGCGCTAGAGGCGCCGCCAAGGGGGCCCTGCGCCAATTAAGAAGACCTCCAGAAGTTTGCGCGGACTTCCGGAAGTTTATGTATCGATTCCCCGTGTCCTGAGATGGGGTTGTTGCTGTTGGCATGATGCCTCCGAATTCCTCCCTTTCTGATCCGCCTCCCTCGCGCACGTAAACTCAACTCAGCTCAGTCGTACTCAGGTCCACTCATGCCCAACTCAGTCATGACCTGACGTACCCACACACTGAGTAACCCATCCTTCCGATGACTCACGCTCAGATTCACTACACTCAGACTAACTCAGACTCAGATCCACGCACACTCAGACTCGCGCACGCTCAGACTCACGCACCCAGACCACTCACACTCAGAAATACTAATACTGTGTTGTTTGGTCGTAGCCTGCCCACACCACGTCACTCACAATCAGACCAGCTCGCACGCATTTGCTCCTCATACTCAGACTCGCCCATGCCCACCGCGATGTAGCAAGTGTGGCATTCGGGAGCTCCAAGGAGGAGCCGCCAGGGAGGAGGACATTTGCCCATTCGCGGCCAGACTGATGTCTCGAGCGAGACGCTCGCTTGGAGACGCCGACACCCTGCTCTGAGAGCCCCGTGATCCCAACCGCATACCAGGCGTGGAACCTGGGCACCTTCAAGGGGAGCCGCCGAGAGGCGTTCAATTTGCCCGTTCGCGGCCAGGTCGTGGTCTAGCGAAACGCTCGTGTGCCCCCCCCCCCCCACCCCACCCCACCCCACCCGCCGACTCCGTTCCTTTCGGAGCCCTAAGATCGTCGGGAGGAAGCAGGCATATCACTTGAGCGCTCCAAGGAGGAAGAGCCACCTGGGAGCGCTGAACCGTCACTGGCTAAGGCCCCCTCGTTCAGACACTGGCTAAGACTCTCTCACCCAGACGCGCACAGCGTGAAGTGGCAGAGAATGAACAACACGTATGGAAATCTCCGCGTCGAGTCATTATGTTTTCTTCTTCGGCGACTGGGGGATATGCTACACCTGAGAAAACCCAATCAGTGGATGATTTGACAGTTTTGAAAATTGATACTATGGATCTTGAGATCGATTGTGAGATCGATCATGAGATCGATGGTGGAATCGATAGTGAGGACGATTGTAAGGTCGATCGTGAGACCGAGAGTGAAATCGATTCAATGAGATCGATAGTGAGATCGACCGCGAGATCGCTCATGCAATCTCTAGTGAGATCGCTTGTGAGATGGATAGTGAGATCGATTGTGAGATCGATGGTGAGATCGATCGAAAAGTCGGTCATGAGATCGATGGTGAGACCGATCGATAAAAAGATCGACCAAGAACCCGGAAACCCGGGAACCTCGCCGCCCTCCGAAATCGGCCCGGAACTCAGAACGGGAAATCCGGGAACCCAGAGCCAGGAACCGGGGAACCCGGGAACCCAGCGTGCGACCAAAATCGGCGGGGCACTTTCGCCAAATCCTTCAACATCCGCGAGGACCCCTTCAGTGCAAGCACTGATTGGGAAACATCCGCGAGGACCCCTTCAGTGCAAGCACTGATTGGGGAACATTGAATGAGATCCGTAATGAACTCGACAGTGAGATCGGTAGTGAGATCGATACGAGGACCCCTTCAGTGCAAGCACTGATTGGGGAACAGTGTTTTCTTCTTCTTCTTCAGCCCAAACTCGGGGATATACAATGGGGGTGTTCATCCTCGACAGGGGTGCGTCCGAATAGCCCCCCCACGGGCGTGTCCCCGAGCGTCCTTTCTTCTCCGATCGACCAACCTGTTGGGGGCCAACTCGTGGACTGGGGGCGAATAGCTGCCTGTGGCGAACTTCGTCCGACCCGAACGCGCCGACCCAGGAGATCCGCGCGGACCTCCGAAAGGTCACGTTCATACGGGTCGTTCCCCTACTTCGGCCAAGGGGGTCCTCCTGGCCTAGGGGGGGTCCTGGCCAAGGGGGTCCTCCTCGTGAGATGGCATCGCAGGCCTCCTCACTGGAGAGGCCATGACTGGTGGTGCTGGCGCCGCTTCTGTTTTCGGCGACTCCGAAGGGTGTGGCTTGCAAACTGTGGTCTGCAACCCGCGCCTGGGGCGGGCTGGCGAGGACCTCGACAGAGACCTCTGCCACGTCCTGGCGAGGGCTCATCAAATCTCCGGCGCAACATTAGTAACCAATAAGCCCCAACGGCGCCGAACGCAAACCACACCCTGGCGTAACCACGCCCGTTGTGGGAACTGGGCGTATATACGCTAAGGTACCTGGGCCCCGCCTAATGGGGCTTCGCAGAAACGCCACAGAACAACGTATAAGGTAACATGTTCCGGCCGCTTCTCCGGGTAGCAGGTGCTGAACAAACTACATACGCTGCTCTTGGGTCGACATTTGCAACTACGCGGTGTACAGACATCCTGTAGTCTACTAGACACACTCCTGGCCCCGACATTTAGAGGCCCCCCAGGTGGTGTCGGAGGATCGCGCCGCATCGCCGATGCATCAGCGATGCGTCAGCGACGCATCAGCGATGCATCGGCGATGCATCGGCGGTGCATCAGCGACGCCCACGCGGAGAAAACCGGGTTCAGCATTGAGCCGTATCGCCGATGCCTCGGCGATGCGGAGCGATCCTCCGATCCCACCCCCTCCTGGGGAAACCACGAAAGGTACCGATACAGCTACTCCTCGGACCTCTCCTGGGGGTGCGCTCTGACCAGGATTTCGAGACGAATCCAGCGGTGGCGACGAGGGCCGCCCAGGAGGCCCCAAAAGAGAAAAACGAGGGAAGGGTACAGTGGAGGCCAGTCCACGAGAAACCTTCCACAAGAAACCCAACCCTAAGACCCCAGGACGTCCATTCATTATTGGTGTGGGAACGTCACGCTTCCCACAGCCAAGCCAGCAACACCCAAGAAACCCAGGGCACCCTGGAGGCAAGCAGGCTGCTTACTGGCATGGGTCTCCACTGTAGAGGTAGAGGAGGAGGAGGAGGACTGTAGAGGTAGAGGAGGAGGAGGAGGAGGAGGAGGAGGAGGAGGAGGAGGAGGAGGAGGAGGAGGAGGAGGAGGAGGAGGAGGAGGAGGAGGAGGAGGAGGAGGAGGAGGAGGAGGGAGGAGGAGGAGAGGAGGAGGAGGAGGAGGAGGAGGAGGAGGAGGAGGAAGGAGGAGGAGGAGGGAGGAGGAGGAGAGGAGGAGGAGGAGGAGGAGGAGGAGGAGGAGGAGGAGGAGGAGGAAGGAGGAGGAGGAGGAGGAGGAGGAGGAGGAGGAGAGGAGGAGGAGGAGGAGGAGGAGGAGGAGGAGGAGGAGGAGGAGGAGGAGGAGGAGGAGGAGGAGGAGGAGGAGAGAAGGAGGAGGAGGAGGAGGAGGCTTCAGAAGGAGGAGGAGGAGGAGGAGTAGAAGGAGGAGCAGGAGGAGGAGCAGGAGGAGGAGGAGGAGGAGGAGGAGGAGGAGGAGGAGGAGGAGGAGGACCTCCGGGAGGCCGCGTTCCCCGGGCCCGCCACTGCAGCCGCCGAGATCGTTTCCCCCCCGACGGCCTGGCCCAGCACGGCCCCCGCGCGTCCTCGGCCCGCAGCCGCACCTCCCGCAGCCGCCCGCCCAGCCGCGCCCGCCAGCGCGGCGCCGCGCGGCGCCCTGGCAGCGGCAGCTCCCCGCCCGGCGGCAGCGGCGGGTCCGAGCCTGCCAGGAGGGCGCCCACGCGGGCGAACAAGAGCCTTTTTTTTAGATTCAAGCATGTTTACTTGCACGGCGTTCGCCCCCCACCCCCCCCCGCACCCCCCCTCGCCCCTCTTCAAACGAATGATATAGCGTGCAAATGCCTTTCGGCTTGCGTGTTTTCCGAACGTGCAAGTCGTCTGCGGCTTGCTTCAGGTTCAGGCCCCCCCCGTCCATGCAAGGAAACTTGCCGGGGTCCAAACACAAAAACAGGCTCGAGGGCGCACACGCGGGCGAGCAAACGGCCATCGGGCTGGACGGGTTGTAAGTTTTTGTCGCCGCCGGAGTCTTCGCGTGGTGGTTGGGGCCCCTGGGGTCCTCACAAGTCGATGCCGCTCGAAAAGGGGCAGGAAGATCGGGTCTGGGGCTCTAGTGGTGACTCCTTCAATGTAGCAAGTATGTTACGACGTCATATCTTAGCGATCACGTGCAAGTCACACTAGGGAGGGAGGGGAGGGAGGGATGGAGAGGAATGAGGAGGGAGGGACGGGGGGGGAGAGGAAGGGAGAGGAGGGGAGAAGGGGAATGGCACGAGGGAGAGGCGGAGGAGGAAATGAGGAGGGCCCCACCCCACTTCAGGGCAAGGCAGTCTGTGCAGGCACATGCCCCGTACGTGCGCTTGCACTGGTCCTGGCCAGGCCGAGCCCATCCTTGGCCCAGGATCGGTGGACGCAAATCTCTGCATGACTGGGCACGGTTTTGTTCAAGCTGGGTGTGTTTCTTCTCGATTTCGGCCTCTGGGGGCCGTCATCGGGCCCGGGAACCACGAAACACACACCTAGGACGAACAAGTACCCACGGGGAAGGGGTTGGGACTTGGGGCTCCGCGCGCTGAACAACACATCGTCGGGTGTCCTGGCATGTCCTGGCACACGCTCTCCTGCCTTCGCCTCAGGAAGGAATCTACGACCCATATCCTGGGCCCATCCCCTGACACCAGACAATTGTTTTTTTCAGTGCGCGGCCCTGTATGTCTCGACCTTGCTCCCAAGCGGTAGTTTTTCGTCCGGGGTCCGTGTTGACTCCCCTTGCTGCGTTCGGCAGCGCCCCATCTTCTGCGGCTTTTCAGCTCGCTTCTAGGTTCAGGGCCTCACTATAACTGAAGTCTTCAAGCGCCGCCGGATGCGAGGGAGCTTACCACAAGGTCCTTTTTTGATGGTCCCAGGACCCGATAACGGCCCCCCTGAGCAGGAGGAGGAGGAGAAGAGGAGAAGAGGAGTAGGAGGAGATCGTGGGGGAGGAGGATGAGAAGGAGGAGGAGGAGGAGGAGGAGGAGGAGGAGGAGGAGGAGGAGGAGAAGGAGAAGGAGAAGGAGGAGGAGAAATCGAAACCGAAAAGAAGCGCCCGGACTGAACAAATCACACCGCCGAAGATCTGGGCCCACTGATGTCTGGGCCAAGGGTGGGCCTGACCCAGAGATCGGTGCCAGCGCATACTACCATTTGGCGCCCTCCCGGGGCCGGGGGGGGCGCCCCGCGCCCACAGCTCGGCGATGGCTCCCTCGTCCTAGCAGGGGAACAGAAGGCGAGGCGGGGATTGATCCATACCCACCGCCTGGGACCGACGTCCTGGGGACCCTGCGGTCAGTGGACATGGATCTATGTTTTGGCCCCGCGGGGCCCGAAGACATCCATACCCACCGCTGCTTGTGGAGGTCTGCGGGAATCGATGCTCCAGGCGGCGGTTCTGCAGAACTCCCCGCCTCGAGCAAAAACACACAAGCATGAAGCTTTTCGTAGGCCCGCGCGGACCTGGAGATCCTGGCGTCCCTCAAGTGTCTTCGAGTCGGACGATTTAGGGCCTGGCCATGCCTCGAGACAGGGGCGCAGAAAGAGGGGGCCAGAAGCTCCGGTCCTGATTCGGAGCGTCGGATCTCAGGGTGGGTCGGCGCTTGGCCCTCTCCTGGCGGCACCTCTGGCGCCGCCCCTGGCAGGCCTACGATGTTCCATGGAAAAAAATCCCACCCAACAAAATCCCCGGACAACCCCGCGGGCAACCCGGACAACCCATGCCGATTCATGACGACAGGACGACCTACCCCGGACAACCTCGTGGACAACCCAGCGGGGATCCGGACACCCCCCCCGGACAACCCCCACACGCAAAAGAAGAGCGACCCACAAACAAAGGACAATTGTAGGCATGAGCTAGAGACTTAGCTGCCCCAATATGCAACACGCAACACGTAGCGAGTGGACAAGGAGCTCAATACGTAGACTGGACACGCTGGTCTTGCGCGATGCGTTCGCTTAAACGTGGGCCAACACGTGCCCAGCCAACACGCAGAGTGTCAACACGAACGTGTTCAACGCGGCATGTGCGGCATTTCAACACGGGCGTGACAGGGCAGCCAAGGAAAGATACCTTTGCCCTGTTCCTCCCTCCCTGCTTCGTTCCGCCTACCCTCGGCGCGGCACCCTTGAGCCTGTTTTTGTAGACCCGGCAAGTTTACTTGCATGGACGGGGGGGGGCCTGAACCTGAAGCAAGCCGAAAACGACCTGCACGTGCGGAAATCACGCAAGTAGAAAGGGACTTGCAAGCCAGTGTTCGCTTGAAGAGGGGCGGGGAAAGGGGGGATGGGGGGGGGCGAACGCCATGCAAGCAAACTTGCCTGAATCTAAAAACAAGCTCCAATGTCTTCGAGCTCTGCGTTGGCGCCTGAGTGTCGGGCCCCAGGCCTCGAGACAGAAGCGCATGCGAAGGATGGGGCCCGAGGCTCCGGCCCTGCTTCGGTGGAGAGCGACGCAGACCTGCCGGGATCTGGAGGCCACGGGTCTTCCCGGCCACGCTCCGGGGAGGGCGGAGCGTGGCCAGAAGACCCGCGGGCGACGGTCGCAGGGCCCCCTTTTCTGCTCCTGTTCCTCCGGGGCGTCGCCCCCGCCCCCCCACACGAAGGGAGGGGCCCCCCTTGCTCGACCACGCTTGCCTTCGCCCGTAGCGAGCGCACCCACCTGTGCGACCCCGTGGAGGCGAGCGACGGGCGAGGCGTCGGTGAACGAGGGGAGGATCTCCGGAAGATCGAGCCATCTGGACAGCATCAAACGGGGGAGGGACACCGAGAAACACAAAACACACTTGTGCAAACAGAGTGCGCGTGTGTGTGTGTGTGTGAATGTGTGAATGTGTGAATGTGTGAATGTGTGGATGTGTGCATGTGTGAATATGCGTGTGCATCTGTGCGTGTATGTGTGTGTATGTGTGTATGTGCGTATGTACGTATGAGTGTATGTTGGGAGGGTTGTTCCGCTTCTTGGGCCTTGGTTGCTCGGCTCGTCGACCATCGCGTGCACTGCGACGGTCGACGAGCCGAAACCCCAGGACGTCCATTGATAGTGGGTGTGGGTGGGAACGCCGCGCTTTCCACAGGAAAGCCATCGAAGCCCCAGAAACCCAGGGCACCCTGGAGGCAAGCAGGGTGTGTCTTGGCACGGGTCCCCACTCTGTTTGCCTCGTCCTCCGCCGACAGGGGCTCCTCGAGAGAAACAAGGAGAACGGCACAACAACTTCTCGGAGGTCAGCGCGGATTCCTGGGGTCGGCGCCGCGCCCCCTTCCCTGGCGCACGATGCGCGCCCCCTTTGTCCTTCGTCGACAGGGGCACCTCCTGAAGAAAAACAATCGGTGGTTGCTAAAAGTGCCCCTGGCGCAAGGCCGTCGACAAGGGCACCTCCTGAAGAACAATAATCGGGGGTTGCCAAAGGTGCCCCTGGCGCAAGGCGCCCCCAGCTTTCTGGTCAATTCTGGCGACCCTGGGGCCCTCTGGGCCTCATGAGGGGTGCTCTCGAGGCCGTTGGGGCCTATCCTCGGAAATCCTGGGGGGCACCTTGGGCCAAGCGCACTTCTAGCAGCACCCGAAAAAAAACGGCACATCAAACTCTCGAAGGTGCGCGCGCATTTCGTGGGTCGGTGCTGGACCACCCTTCCTGGCGCGCGAGGCGCGCGCGCGCCCCCCCCCTCTGTCCTCCGTCGACAGGGGCTCCTCTTGAGGAAGATCAGAGAACGGCACAACAAAACTGTCGAAAGGTCCGCGCGGATTTCGTGGGTCGGCGCTACGACTACATCCCCTGGCGCGCGAGGCGCGTCCCAGCGCGGCGCCAAAGGCGCCGCCTTGGGGTCCAGCGCAGATCTGAGAAGTCCACGCGGGCCTCCCTCGGTGGCAACTCGTGGGAGCAGCCTCCCATACCATCTTGTCGGCTCTTGCGAATCGACGTTAATCCACGCTAGTCGAAGCTAAACCGACGCTAATCGATGCCAGCCTGGAGCCGTCTCAGCCACTCCCAGACGACGCTCGTAGACGCTAAAGGCAGAAATGAGAGGGCGTACCAAGCTCCCATGATAGGGGAACGACGAATGACATAAACAGAAAAACTCGGATGTCCGCGCGGATTTCTCGGATCCGCGCTGGACCCCCCTCCCTGGCGCGCGGAGCGCGCCAGGGGCGGCGCCGGAGGCGCCGCCAGGGGGCCCCAGCGCCGATCCGAGAAATCCGCGCGGACCTCCGAGTTTTCATGCTTATGTCATCCTTCGTTCCCCTATCATGATTTGCCACCGAAGCCTCCGACAGTTTCTGCCCATATGCAGTCTTCTCTTCTCCGATCCTCGGCCTCGGGGCCCTGCCACACCAGGCCCACGGCCAGCAGCCAAGGCCGTTCCGCGTGCAACAGCATCGAGCGCAGGGTGGCCGGGAGCTCGGGGTCGCAGTAGGCCGCGATGGACACGAAGATGCGGCCGGCCGCGGCGCCCGCCGCGGCGGTGCTGGCCGGCGCGCACGAGCTCCTGTGCACCTTCGTGGGCGAACAACACTACTCTTCTTTTCTATTCTGCGAGGATGGCAGCCTCAGGTCAGCAGACCAAGGGCTCCAGCAGAGCATTGGAGCGCGTTTCTTTATGTTCGGCGATGACGGGCGTCATTGGGGGTGGCGAGGGGGGGTATGACGTAACGCCCCCCCTGCCGTGTGGGCTCCGGCACCGCAGCCGCGCCCGCGCGCGCGACGCGACGAGCGACGAGCGACGAGCGACGAGCGACGAGCGACGAACGACGAGCGACGAGCGACGACGACGACGACGCGACCAGCATGTAGGTGGCGATATGCCCCACTGCGCCTGTGTACACCACAACGTTCGCGTGCACCACAGAGCGCGTGTATACCACAGCGCCTGCGTACACCGCAATAACCGTGTGCAACGCAGCGCCTGTGTACACCACAGTGCTTGCGTACACTACAGCGCCGGTGTACACGTGCACACCGCAGCTACCATGTGCAACACAGCGCCTGTGTACACCACAGTGCTTGCGTGCACCGCAGCGCCTGTGCACGCCACAGCGCGTGTCTACACCACAGCATTCGCGTGCAACGCGGCGCTGGTGTACACCACAATGCCTGCGTGCATAAGACAGGTAGAAGGAGCATGTACGTGAGGATCTGCTGCGGACAACTAAACACCACGCCAGGAAAGTGCTGATAATCGAATGCGACGTTATTCCCTCCTCCCTCCCCCTCCACCTCCACCACCACCTCGTCCTCCTCCTCCTCTTCCTCCTCCTCCTCCTTCTCCTCCTCCTCCTCCTTACCCCCTGTTGTGCGAGTTGGCGCTACAGCGCACGTGCGCATCTCAGCGCGCACCGCCGAATGGTCTATTGAATCGGTCCAAGTGGTTCTCGGACGGCCCATTTAGCTGGAGCCTCCTGGACGCAGATGGGAGGAGTTAGGGTATGCGGGCGGATTCGGGAGGACTCGCAGATTCCAGCGGCGCTCCATTTTCTGTGGAGTCCACAAACGCTCCATTTTGTCATAAGGATTCGTTCTAACATTCTATATACAACAGTGGTGCTATGTGTCGCGTGGTTGCTGTGGTGCACACAAGCGCCGTGGTGCGCACAGGCACTGCAATGCACGCGGGCATTGTGGTGTACACTGGTGCTGTGTTGCACACGCCTGATGTGGTGTACGCAAGCGCTGTGGTGTGCACAAGAGCTGTTGTGCCCGCAGGCACGGTGGTACAAACTGACGCTATGTTGCACGCGGCTGCTGTGGTGTACATAGGCGGTGTGGTGTGCACAGGCGCTGTGGTGCACGCAAGCACTGTGGTGTACACAGGCGTTGTGGTGCAAGTTGCCACCTACTTGCTGGCGCTACCAGTCCTCCGTCATTGGTAGGCATTCCCAGACGCCGCCGGCGCGAAACGTGACGTCATCGACCCCCCCACCCCCACCCCTAGATGATTGCCGCCATCGGCCCGGAATAAAAAACAGGCTTCAGCCGCGTCTGCGCGCACGACGACTATGAGCGACGAGCGGCAAGCCACGAGCGACGACGACGACGACGAGGACGACGACTGCGGACCAGACTCCTGTGCGGATTCCTACGCGGACACCTACGCGGATCCAAATGCGCACGGCGGCAGTGCCCGGAGCGCACTGGGGGGGGGGGAGCGCAACGTCATCGGGGGGGGGGAGCGGGGGCCATGACGCCCGTCATGCCCCAAGCAATAAAGAAACGGGCTCTTACAAGGCTGGCTCAAAACACACACGCAGCAGGATCCATTCTTGAGCGACTCTGCCAACGATCTTTCCGTCGCACGGGGGGCAGGCCCAACAGGAATGTGGTGGGAACGGCCGGCACGCTGGGCCTCCCTCTGGCACGTGTCCGCGGCCTCGCGGGCTGGGCCCCTGGGCCGCGACCCCGCGCAGACGTGGCGCTTTGTTCGCCGATGCCCCGCGCGGAAAGTATCCGTGCGACCGCGTATCCGCGGGATCGCGCCCCGGAACCCAGACCGCGAGGGCGCGGAGACGGGCATGTTCGCTGCTCGCGACCTTCCAGGCCGCCCGGAAGCAATCCTGGCCGCAGAAACGCGCCGCCTTGCAGCGCGAGCAGGCGAACTGTGCCCCAGAGGCCCCGCAGGACCCGCAGGAGTCCAGACCATCCGCCATTCGAGTCCAGGCGGCAGCGTTGAGGAGGGGCGCCGGAGGGAGAGGTGGGAGGAGCGGCAAAGAGGGAGGGGATAGAAAAAGAAGGAAGAGAACGAGAGAGAGAGAGACAAACAAACATGATGGAAATAATGAGGTGAATGTCCGTGTGAATGTATATAGACATGTGTATATAGATATGTGTGTATGTATGTTTGCATGTGTGTGCATGCATGCATGCATGTATGTATGGATATATGTATGTCTACGTGTACGGATGTGTGCATGTTTGTATGTGTATGTATGTATGTGCGTATGTGTATGACTGCATATACCAGTGCATGCATGTATACGTGAATGTGTGATTGTATGTGCGTATGCATGTACATGTACATGTACGTATACACACATGTGTGTACGTGTGTGTATATGCATGCATATACGTATGGTTGTATGTATGTACGTATGCAATTGTGTATGTATGTGTGTACGTGTATGTACGTGTGTATGCATGTACGTATGTATGTATGGATGTGTGTATGTGTACATGCATGCATGTATGTATGTATGTATGTGTGTTTGTGTCTGTCTGTATGTTTGTGTGTATGAATGCATGCATGCATGCACGTATGTCTATGTGTATGTATGTAAACACGTATGTATGTATGTGTGTATGTATGTATGTATGGATGCATGCATGCAAGAATGCATGCATGTATGGCTGTATGTGTTTAAGTCGGTAAGTAGGTCGGTGGGTATATGGGTAGGCCGGTCGGCAGGTAGGTAGGTGTGTATGCATGTATGCATTTGCATGTGCATGCATGGATGCATGCATGCATGTATGCATGCATGTATGCATGCATGCATGCATGTGTGTATGGATGTATGTGTGTATGTATGAATGCCTGTGTGCATGCATACATCCATATATGTATGTATGTGTATGTATGTAATATGCATGTGTATAGATATACGCATGCATGTGTGGGTTTATTCAGGCACGCATTCATGCATGTATGTGTATGCATGTATGTGTGTATGTATGTGGGTGTGTATGTATGCATGTATGTATGTATGTTTGTGTGTACGTATGTATGCATGTTTGTGTATGTGTGCACGGACTGATATATATATATATATATATATATATATATATATATATATATATATATATGCATGTATAACTATGTATGTGTGTGCCACCGTGCCGCTGGGCACGGAAGGGTGTGTGTTCTCAGATCCTAAGACTCAGTCGTCACTCATGAGGATTTACTACGGGATCCAGACTCCAAATTCCTGGTTTCTCCAGGGCTTGTCGCCGTTCCCCTGGGTTCCCCCGCGTCTTTTCGCATGACTTTGGGGGGCCCAAGATAGGCCCAGAGGGTCAGAAGCCCCCAAGAAGGTCCAAGAGAGCCCCGAGGCGCCGAACGATCGCTCCAAGATGCTCTCTAGATGTCACCTGAAAGGCCTAAGAGGCCTCCAAGACGCCCAAGTGGCCTCCAAGAGGCCTCCCAAGAGAGCCCCGAGAGGCTGAACTCAATGATTCTCCTTTGGTTTTTGTCGGATGTTTGCCTTCTCGCCTTTTCGGCTTCCCGACGCTCACGGACGGCCTTGGAAGCCCCCAAGACTGGCCCAAGAGGCCTCCAAGGGGGCCCCCAAACGGCCCAAGAGGGCCCCAAGACAACCCAAGAGGCGCCCAAAACAGCCCAAGAGGGCACCAAGACGGCACCAAACGTGGCACCAAAGAGGGAGCACGAACCGAAAATCCGAGCCTTCCGCCCCAAGAGACCCCCAGAAGGCCCCAAGAAGCGCCCAGTAGGCCCAAAGAGGCCCCCAAGAGACCCTGAAGAAGCCCCAACGGCCTCCCAAGAGGTCCCAAACGGCCCCGAAGAGGCGTCCAAATTGCCTCCAAGAGGCCCCCGAGAAGCCTCCCACGATATTCCAACGAACATCAAATAAGCTTCATTCCCACAACCAAGGCACGGTGGCGGAATGGTCCGAAGGCCATTCGATCCGCCGCCCCCTATTGGCTTGCCACAGGGGTGCCCTGCGTGCCAGACTTCAAGAGGTCTTAGGTTCTTTAAGAACTCCCCCTTTGGTTTCGGCCCAGCGCGCCGGCCACCTGGAAGGCCGCACACACGACCTCAACGTCCAGAACAAGTTCCCCAAGACGGCTCCAGATGGCCTCCAAGAGGGCAAGATGGCCTCCAAGTCTGCCCAAGAAGGTCCAAGATGGCCTCCAAGACGGCCAAAGAGGGTCAAATATACCTTCAAGTCTGCCCAAGAAGCCTCCAAGACGGCCTGAGATGTGCCCAAGATGGCTTAAGACGACCCAAGAAGCCTCCAAGAGGCCTCCAAGACAGCCCAAGAGACCTCCAAGAGGTCCTCCAGGAGGGCCCCAAGAGGCCTAAATCATTTATTTGCATTACTCCGTTGGGAGACTGTGGCGTTCTCTTCTTTTCGGCCTTCCGACGGCCCCAGACGACCCAGGAGCCCCAAACAAAGATTGCCCCAATATCTTCCCAAGTGCCTCCAAGATGGCTCCAGACCGGCCCAAGAGGTCCCCACGACGGCCCCAAGAGGGCCCCAAGACGGCTCCAGAGGCCTCCAAGACGGCCAAGATAGCTTCCAAGACGGCCCTGGAGCACCTCAAGAGGGTCCCAAGCCGGCCCAGAGAGGCCCCCAAGACGGCTTCCGACGGCGTCAGACGGGCCAGGAATGCCCCAAGACGGCCAAAGACGCCCCCGAGAAGCCCCCAAAGGCCTCCAAGCCAAGGGGCCCAAGGAGGTCCCCAAGATGCCTGCAAGAGGCTCCCAGGAAGTCCCCAGGAAGCCCCAAGAGAGCCCCCAGAGGCTCCCAAGATGCCCCCTCGTCCTA